AATTGGTTTGTAGTGGGAGGAAATGATGCCTTTGATATAGGAATAAGAGCATCCAGGTTCCATGAATGCTGTAGAGTAGATAAAATCAGTGTAAAGTAAGTTCAAAGACTTTTAAAAAGTATTGTAGCAGATGACTAGGATTCAGACAAATTTCCAACTCTTGACATCAGCTAAGAAAGAAATCACCGTAACAAATTCAAACTTGATATCTTAGAGCTAACAGATAGTTCATAACATACACCAGATACCTTGGCTTACCTTTGATGTGCCTTTAGTAGAAAAATATAAACCAGATCTTCTCAGGAAAAAGTAAACTTTTTTCCAAGACTTCTTTCCCTGTTCTTTTGCATGCAAGAAGCCATGGATTTCAGGATATGTGCTTGAGCTTAAAAACATCTGGAAGACACATTAGATGCTTTCATAATATTATGGAAACAATGATGCCAATAATCTTTTACCTGTCAGACATGGACACACAAAATCAGACAGTATCGGTGGTGTCTGCACTGTGCAGAGATCACAATGCATGCTTGATAGAACTCTATCAAAAACCTGGCACAAGTTCCAAACTAAGGTTCTGCAGAAAATATACACTCAAAGTAATCAACAAATGGATAAAAACCAAAATCACAAGTTATTTGAATTTCTACTTGACAGTGGGCCTTATCTAGAGAATTATGTCCTGATATGTTTCATCTTTCCTATAGATTCACAAACAAGTAGTTTGCCTATGAGGGATATTATGCAATACTGTAGGGCTCCTATCCGGGCTTCACTCATTACACAGACAGTTGAGTCACGTTCCCCTGCCTAGTGAGGATGAAGCATGCAATCTCTCTTTGTCTCCTGTGATTTTAGTTTTAGGTGGGCATAGCAGGGTGAAGTTTTAAAGAGAATTTTAACAGCATCTTCTATCCCATTGAGCCATGAAGAGGTGGCATCTGTTTCTCGCCCCCTAAATTTTCATAAGTCTGTCACCCTTAGAATTTGTTTGGAGTCAACACTACCAGTTCTAGGTAGAGCCTTAGCTTAATAGCTTCCAGGAATTGGTACATGGAAACCAGCTGTCAGATTTAAAAAAAAAAAAAAAAAAAAAAAAAAAAAAAAAAAAAAAAGGTAGTTACCTGAGACCACCATGGGCAAGAAACCTAATGATAGTGGGAAAGCCCTGGAGAGGATAAGACACCATGTGGAGAGACAGAGTGAAAATCAGCTTTGAAGGGGATGCTCAGCCTCCAGCCCCTGAGACAAACAGCCACAGAACTGAGCCAGCCAGCGAGCTCTTACCCAATTCATGTCCCACAAAAATCACTGGTAAAATGTCAGCAGATACTTGAAGCCATTCAGATTTGGAAGAGTTTGTTATGAAGTAGTCATTAGTTGGGACAGTGGGCATGTGATGCTTGGGCAAAGAAAAAGGGCAGCCGTAAGTGGCTATGCATGTGTCCTTATTAAGATCGTGAAAATGCATTAGTGATTCCTAAATGAAAACAGAAGTCCCTATGAGTACACAGATGCAAAAATGGGAAAAATCGAAAGTAGTAAAAATCATTAACTACAATGGGGTAATATATCCTAAAGGCCTGTAATACAGTCAGGGAAATGCTGATAGGAAATATTTACATTTTTAAGTCAATCACTAAAAAATTTTGATGCAACGAGCCATTAATTAATTGATATGCAAAACAGGCAAGTAGGTTTTTTTAGTTTGAGTGCTTTCCAAGTTATTAAACCAAACCAATTAAATTTTTAAAGAAGAGTCATAAGGGTCACGCTAGAAAGCGAAGAAACCTTTTAAAAAGTAGAAACATTGCCTCAGTGGAGAGGAGAGGTCAGGGCGTACACTGGACTATCTGATTCTAAAGCCTGTGATTTTCCTTTTTATTATAATTTAACATTAAAGCAAGAGAACCATGGGAGAGGACAATTAGGAAATGAGGGGGAAGAAAGACTCCCTCCCACCACCACATCACACAAATCAGTGAAGAAGCCACCGGCAAAGCTTTGGGGCTCTACTCTACCACCCCAAGGGTTGCCTCTAGAGACCACGCAGCATGGAAGCTGCTTGTAGAAAACAGATTCTCTTGAAACTAACAATATTATCAAATAATCTTCAGGGTTAAATAAATCACACCCTATTTAAAAATCCACAGGAAACAAATCTGTGCTAAACACCCCTAGCCTAATATATCAAAAAGCATGCTATAAATACTGGACTAGAGACCATTACTATTAATTGAATTTGTGAACACCAGGTTTAGCTTAAATAGGACTAATGGACCTGTGAAAAACAACTGTGGATGCCAGATCGCTGAATCTATGGAAAATGGAATTAGCCAAACGGTTGGCTGACTGTAAAGACAATGCCTGGTAAATGACCATCCCAAGCCACAGCCAGGGGGACAAGAGTAAGCCCAGCAGTCATAAGGCTAACTTCATGGAGAAGCTAAGGATGTTTTAGGGCTGCATGTATATGTTTCCCTCACACCACTGCAAGTGCTGGCTTATGGAAGGGATGCACTGCATACTCCTTCTATTCATTTAACTGCTATGTATTTTCTCTCAAATAGCATTGAGGCTATTGATTACAAGAGTTATACTAAGTACCTACCAGTGAAATGTCTGCAGTTTCCTGGGAAGTGCATTTTTTTCAAAAGATGCACATTTTTTTAGTACAAATCACCTGCAGGTTTTCTTTCACAGAAAACATTTTTTAATTCTGAAAATTCTTTACAATCAGGAGAGAAAATGTTATTGATTATTTAGTAAATTATTTATTCAAGTTTTTTTCTTTCCTTTTTATTTTCAGGACAAAAATGAATCATGCAGGCCACAATATTTCAAAATCCGCCAAAAATTCAGAAAATTAAACAAAAGTTTCCACTTTGGTGTTCTTACATAATTTAAGGAAAACATTTTACCTGCAGGATCTGTGTAGGGGATCTGTCACCATTGGTCTCAGGTGCAAAGGACACCATGTGCTCTGGAAAGAAATACTGACCAAAGATACAAGTTAAATCAGTCCCAAACCTTTGCCAGGAAAGATTCCAGGGTGACCATTAGAGGAACCTAAGCAAAATGTCTTAAAAATTAACATGTCTAAAATTCCTGCAAAATGATTTGAAAAATGTCATTCCTAAACCTAAACTAAATGGTCTCTTAATGAACCCAGGTGGCACTGGGTCCTGAGATCAGCAGACACCCCAAATCACACTCATAGAGAAAGCCTAGCCCTTGAGTTCATAGTGAGCTTGCTCTGATTTCTTCCTTCAGTCCTACAACCAACCCACCAAGTACTGGAAGAGCCCTGACCCACTTCACAAAGTCAAGACTCATCGACATAAGGGGCAAAGGCTGTGTCAAAAGTCACAGGCCAGAACACAAAACAGCCAGGACTCAGCTGGGAAGCTAAAAGGCCACTCATTTCCACCTACTGTTTCTCCAAACTTGTTTAATCATAAAGTTCACCCCAAGAAATTGTTTAAAATAGAAATTCCCAAGCTTCATTCTTGACTTTTCTGATTCAGTAGGTTTGGACAGGTCTTGAAGTCTGTGTTTTTAATAAGGCCTGGGGCTCCCCAAGGTAAATTTCATGATAAGAAAAGTTGGGAAACATATATTCTACTCTATTTCCTCCAAGAGAGGGTTTGTCAACAGACGTCTACTAGTACTGTGGTCGAAAACTTGTGCATTGTTGGGGCTGACCTGTGTGTTACAGATGTTTAACACCTGGCTTTCCAGCCTATCCCACAGCTGTTCTCCCACTCACCAGTGCTGCATGGATAAAAAAAAAAAAGCCCTATAGATTATCACATCACCCCAAGTCAAGAACCACTACTACTCAGATCTACAAAAATCAATGTCAAGCTTTATTTAAATAAAAATAAATAAAATAAAAATTGTACCCTAAGCCATATTTCCTTAAATATAACCTTTAAATGGATGCCTTAATAAAGACTCCCAACAAGAAAATACTTTTCCTTCAATTCTATTTCATCGTTATTAGAACTCTCATTTTCGTTGTCAAAGATCAACCCATTATGTTTCTATTAATAAGTTACAATAAAAGAGAACATAAGAGGTCTTTCAGGGTTTGAAAATATTCTATTATGGTGTGTATCATATATTTTTCATAAAGGATCGTTTCAATCCAATTATCCAAAACTTAGTATAAAAATACACTGCAGCTGCAGAGACAAAAACAATTTAAAATAATGAGCCCAGAGGCGATTCTGACTTCTCTGAATCCGCAGACTTCATTAGGATGACACGCATTTACTTTCTTTTAAAGAGAGCTGTAATGAACATAGTGTTTACTAGGTAATGTGCTGTTCTTTATCTCATTTCTACTCAGTTCAGAAGTTACTACACTGAAAATAAAGTAATTTAAAGAAAGATACATACCAGTCTTAAATGTCTGGCAAAGCTACAGTACTCACAACAATCACCAATTTACTTTAGAGAATGCCTTATTTCCCTTAATTCTATGAAATGTACTAAACTGTAATGTTCTGGAAGACACTCAGGGACCTATAACAATTCATTTTCTAAAGTAAATACAGAGTTTCTTTGACTTTGTATCTATTTAATAGGCAGAAAAGAAGCAATAGCAAGAATCTCCAAGCTGGTTTTCCCAAGAGTTTGAAATTAAATAACCAAATTTACTTCCATTCAGGTCTTGTCAAAAATGTTAGTGTTTTATCTGTGAATGTAAACTATCATGCATCATGTTTAGCTCATCGTTGTTAGAATAAGAAATCAGAGCACAAATCCAAAGTAACTAGCTCTACCTCATTTATAATAATGCTCTTCCGCACATAAAATTTAACTGACTCATTTAATTCTGTAACTGTTAATGGAGAGTCCACTCACCATTGGGTTCTTAAAACATTCATATTTGGCATAATTTTTTCTAAGATACAGCTTATTTTCTTCTTCCATCCCCCAGTGAGACAGCACTTCAATCACCAGCTCATGGTCTTCTATTATTCTTTCTGCGAGAATGTTTCAATGAGTATGTTGACAGATACATAAATAGTTCAATAGGCAAACGTGAAAATACACACAAATACATCAGCATAGAAACATATGGAGTAAATTATGCAGCGTTCACAATGCATTATTAAACAGAAGTTTCATCTCAATTCTTAAATATCTACACTGGCAAGATTTCTTTTCAATTCTGAATTATTATATCGACTTTTATGCCAGCACCATCATCTAAAGAGAAAATTACATAAAATATCACAAATGCCATTTTTGCTAATTCTCAGTCTCCTTTTGTTGCTATGTAAATTACAGTATAAGTTTGATAACAAATCTGTATTAAGATGTGGGAGCTATTCTTTCTTTAACTCATCATGGTGCCAAAATTAAAATATTTGCTCCAGGTTTGAACAATTCACCTCATTAAGAGATGAAGAATTTTGACAGGTTCACTATGCATTTTAAGATACATAATCTAGGTAGCTGAAAAAATTAAAATACATGCTCAAAAGGGGAAATTTCCACTCAAGTCGATACAGTTTTCTATGAAGCTCAATTCCTCATGGCACTTTAGACTTTCAAAACTAATTCAAGGAAAATAGACCCTGTATTAACAAAGGAGATAATTAAGTAAGGTAGGAAGGTGCTCATCAGAAAAGACATTAAATGAACCAAGCATTGGTAACTTTCAAGAAGTCAAACATAACCAATATAATATCTATTGTAATGCAGACTGTGATGGTGTTTGTGACTGTATTATTCATAACAGCCCCAAACTAGAGACTACCCATCCACCCCTTGACAGGAAAATGATTTTTGTAAAAGCACACAAAAAGGATATTCTACAATAATCCCAAACAGAAATCTCGGAAGTGAAAAACGATGTATATTGCATGAGTCCTCTCACATAAGGTTCAGAGTGAGGAAAACTCATCTATGTGGCTAGGAATAATAAGAGATAGAAGGTGAGTGGGGAGCGCATGAAGCAACTGGTCACAATTCTGTTTAGTCCTGTAGATGTTACTCAGGAACATGCAGTGTCTGAAAAGTCACGAAGCTGCCCCATGGAATGGGCTCACCTTCCTCAGAGCAGCTCACTCTTCAACAAAAAGTCAGGACAATTTAATTATGAAATTGTCAATAAGGAAGAGAAAGTCTAGAATAGCTAAAAGGGGATATGGACTCCTGTTCTTTTCATGTTCCTAGGAACTTTTTGAAAAGAATCAGCATCTCAGAAGTTCAACACTCAGACGTGATCTGGGCCCATACTACAGGGACCCTTACACAGAAGCCTGTTCTCTGAAAGGAGTTCATCTCGATGAGTATGGGTGAGTTGCAGTAAGTGCTCATGAGCAAGCACAATTCTGGCCTTGGTTGGATCAGGTACCATTGTTTCTGCTCACTGGCTAGTTCCCTTCACTGCTTCCCTTTCCAAAAACTCAGTTTTTGGCTTCACTCTTTCCTTTCTTCTCTAAATGAAGTCACTCTTTTTGACACACCCATCAAGTTCCCTGAAGTGAAATCTCTGCCTAAAATTGCTCTCCCCAGGACTGAGTTTCTCTACCTCCTCAAATATACTTTGTTGAAAGCCAAGGTCCACACCTTAATTTCCTTCAGGGTTCCAGATCTTTTTTTTTTTTTGAATTAAGAAATTTTTTATTCATTTTACATACCAATCACAGACCCCCCCTTCCCTCCTCCCACCCCTTCAGCCTCCCCCCCAATTCCTTCCTACAAGAGGTAAGGCCTCTCACGGGGAGTCAGCAGAGCCTGGTACATTCAGTAGAGGCAGGTCCAAGCCCCTCCCCCTGCCTCAAGGCTGTGGGAAGTGTCCCACCTAGGTATTGGGCTCCAAAAAGCCAGCTCATGCACCAGGGATAGATCCTGATCCTACTGCCCAGGGGCCCCTTAAACAGATCATGCTACACAACTGTCTTGCTTATGCAGAGGGCCTAGTCCAGTCCCGTGGAGGCTCTACAGCACACCCTAATTTTTTTAAAACAGTAAACACAGAATGATCATTCAATGCCACTGCCAATTTCACATCTGGCTCTAAGTCCCAAAAAAATGACAGTTAAGACTCCCAACTTCACTTCTGGCTCTAAGTCCCAAAGAAATAAAAGCTAAGATTCTAGAAGATATTTGTGCCTAAAGGCAAAAACACCACTGTGTCCATGGGGGGAGAAGGGCAGGGACAGATACACAAGATAGAAACTAAACCTTAAAAGAAACGAAAGTATGACATACACTAGACGTGATAAACCTTAAAGACTCTGTACTAAGTAAAATCAGACCGACAAAAGACAAACACTATATGACCCCATAAAAGTACCTAGAGCAATCCAATGCACAGTAACAGAGAACTGAATGTTAGTTTCCTGGGCTGGCAGTGAGGAGAAACAGAGCATTATTGCTTACCTAGTAAAGAGTTTCCATGTGGGAAGAGAGTATTCTATAGACAAGTGTTGGTTCTACAGGGCTTATGTGATATATAAGCCCACTGAACTTCATAGTTATATTGGATAACATGGTAAATTTTATTTATGCTATTCTACCATAATTTAATAGTATGCCTCACTACCCTTACAGTTATCTTCCTTTCAAACCAAGAAGTACTTGTTCTGCTTGAAATCTTATTTTTGTGACTGTTAATATCATTTTGGCCATATTCTCTCAGAAAAACGTAAACTTAAAAGTTCCTTCTGCATGTTTTCTACCTCTCACTCTGTATCCTTTACTCCTGAGATTCCCGGCTGTGCTCTTTCCACATCCCCCTCAGAAACAACAACCACCCCAAGCCCATTCCCGATGTCACCATGCCAATGGACCCCCATCTTTTCTCACAGAACCTCTTTACTAATCCCTAAACCTCCAGCTACTCTTTGTACTCTACCTCCATCCTGAATGCTGACATCCTAACAGTCACCCTAAACTATCTGTGCCCATCCTGCCCAGAATGCATAGCAATTTCTACTTCTCATGAAATAAAACCATAAGACCTAACAAAGACACCTTATCCATCCATCTATCCATTCAAATTGTCACCAAAGGCCTGCATGGGTCCGATGCTCCCCTTAGACCTGGGAGTTTTGAAACGGACAAAACCAGGAATAAATGGCTGCCCTTGTGAAGTCCCTAATAGAAAAATATAGACAATAAATAAAATGTGAGCCCTTTAAAGATGGCAGGAAAACACAGAGCAGGGAAGACAGAGTGTGCTGAGAGCAAGGGGAAGGGTTCATTTCCAGCGGCTTTACAGAGAAGTGCCTGTGGAGAGGGCGATCTTCCAGCAAAGATGCCGAGGAAAAGGGCAGAGCCAAGCACTCACGGCAGAGGAAGAAGGCAGTGCCCAGGGTGAGGACAAGGCTAGGATGTCTGATGCACCGCATGGCGGTTAGCATAAGTAATGCTGAATGAGTGACAGAACAGCCCCAGGAGAAGGGTGTCTAGAGGCAGTAGAAAAGGGGGTTTGAAGCCCCACCCTCCATGATAAGGACTTACAGGAGACAGGACAATGGACAGAGGAACGAAATGAAAGAACCGGTTTTAACTGCATCGCGCTTGCTGTTGAGGGTAAACTGATTTTCCACAGTCACAGGGACTGAAAACACAAAGTCCAGTTAGGAAGTTGATTAGCATTAGCCAGGGCAGAGGTGGTAGAGAGTAGATTAACATGGTAGCTGTGGGTTTTGTAAAAGGTGGGCAGGATCTGGGTGCATCCTGGGAGGTCTAAGCAGTGGGATCAGAGGGAATATTCCAAATGTGTGAGAAAGAAGGACAAATTGTGGAAGACACTGAGGTCCTCTGACTAAGCTTGGAAGGATGGTATTAGTAAGGAGGAACCGGGAAGACTGAGACCAAGCTAGTGAGGCCCAGAGGTCAGTGAAGGACAGTACAGAGCTGCATTTCAGTGGTCTCTGGGTACTACTGACTTCTGTTTATCTCCCCCACAAATCTAACTTGTGCTTCCAAGCTAGGATGAATACACGTGCTGTGGATGGAGTGTGTACCAATATTCTTTGCAACTGCAAGAGAAGAAATTCAGAGGGACAATAAATGATACCTGTTTGCTGGTTTCAGCGACCTGTGTTTCTTTATACAATTGCCTGTCTCTACCAATAAGGGAGGAGTTTATGCTCCACCCTGAATGTACACCAACACAGAGAGGGAAAAGCAACAGACACACATTTTCTTGATGGTTAAACATCAAGGTACATTTCACCAGCCTTTGGCAAATATCAGTGCTTGGGAAGAATCATGTCTAGCATGGTCCTCTGCTGCCTCATACGGGGATCCATCCTCTCATGAAGAGGGAGTTACAGGTAAGGTGAGAATGAAGCGGGGAGAGAGTCAAGTCAGACCCTGGATGAAGTAGGAACCAATGAGTCTATGTTTCCCCCTTTAGGAACAGGAATACTTTCAAGGTGCCAGGGTCCCAATAAGCTGAAACGTGCTGAGTGGGTCAAACCATAGACAATGTTTTTTTAATCCTCCAGAACCCATGTATCAAACAGAAGCAAGAACTGAGGGCAATGCCAAGCTCACAGCATCCCAGTATGGAGAAAGAGTGCTAAGTACCCAGAAGGAACACGGGAGAGCTAAAAAAATAATAAATAAATTAAAAAAATAAAGGTCCTAAGCTTGAAAGGCCCTATGCTTTTCAGAAAGGAAGTGTGAGACAAGCAGGAGCTTCCAGAACATGAAGAAAACAGTGACACAAGAATAAGACAAATGCCTTGGTTAAAAATGATGTGTCCCACCAGGATGCTGCAAAGGTAAAAGGGGTCTCAATTGTCGAATATAAACATTTCAAACCAAAGGCAACTCACTGGCAGAACTTGAGTTATTGACCCCAACAGACAATCTGGACTGCAAACAAATAGTATGAGGTTAAATTCTCTGCTGTTCTGAAGGCTGGAGAAGCAGAGTCTAAAATTCATTCCTGTTACAAAAAGAGATGGCAACTCTGCATGTCTCAATCGATGAGCATATCACTGTTACATTTCATTTTTATAATACCCTAAGTAGATTGAATAACGTCCCTAATGATATCAAGACCTAATGCCTAGAACCTGTGAATGCTGCATGGGAAAGCCTTTGCAGATATCTAATGACAAACATATGGAATTGAGTTAGGCTCTCAATCTATCTGTAAGCATCCTTGAAAACACAGACAGAAGGGGGTTTGATACAGACAATATGGGGAATTGAAATACAAAGCAGAGATTAAGTGATGTGACTACAAGCCAAGGAACATCAGCAGCACACAGCACCTAGAAAGGTATAGTCAGGTTCCCTTTAGAGCCCTTCAAAGAAACATGACCCTCCAGAATTGTGGAAATACAGTTCTCCAGTTTGTAGCTCACCAAGTTTGTGGGAATCTGTTAGACTATCCTTATGAAATTACTATAATAACCTAATGAGCAAGTTATGTTTCTGTTTTAAAGATAGCCAACCTGACCAGGTTGACTGAGCCCTTGTGCCTGACCCAAGCTGAGGGCCTTTCTCCTGCAGGGCCCTGCTTCATCCTACATGGAAGCTCCCACACAAGGTGCTCACACTGCCACCTCAGCAAGTCCTAATTCTATAACCAGGAAAAGTTTAAATCATTCTCTCTTTTCCTATTGTTTTAATTATCTGTTTCTTTTTATTCTGGAATGTGTCCGATAAGTATTTGCTAATCTATTGAAAATAAACAATCATGTTCTGAATGTCAGAAGAATAAAAGTGATAGTTGGATTTCAAATTATCCAATCGTAACCTTCCATAAAAGTAATTTAGATCATTTGAGTTTGGGATGCATGCAAAATTAAATTCAAAAATGAGTTGGGAAAAAAAATCAAGCTGTATTTGAACAGCCACAATGAATAAGAAACTGAAAAAAAAAAGTGTGGTATGTGTGGTCACCAAGTAGAATGTAGTCTGGTGTTCTGTTGATATCACTCACACACACACACACACACACACACACACACACACACACACCTCAAAGGCAGAATATAAATCTGGAAAGAAAAGATAAGCAAGAAATACTTCAGGAAATTTCACAGATCTATAGTACTTAATGCTTGAATAATGCAAACAATAAAATCAGAAGAATATCCTCATAATATTAATAAGAAACATACTTTCAAAAGCTATCAAAACCTAGACTGTATTTAAGAAAGAAAAATACATCAGCTCTACTCATCTAAAGCAACATTCTAGTTCTAGCCTATGGATAATGCAGATAATAAATAGACAAAGTCAATAAAGGCCTACAGGGCTGGATACAGCTATGTTTCTACCTCATATACAATTCTAACAATGAAGATAAAGTTTTCTTACCAGGAAATTTGGCTTTTAAAAATTATATCACATTAGATAATCTTTATGCATCCATAAATCGGCATCTCGATTTAGATGCACTGTTGTTTATCATCCTCCAGCTGACTTCATCCCTCAAAGCATCACAGCTCCAGAGATCTAAACAACCCTAGTAGGGACAACTGGCAACCAACTAACCACAGCCTACTGTGATTTGCTCTCTTTTAGTGAGGCGGCTCACTAATGTAGGGGTTCATAGGCATAATGTTCAACAGGAAGATACAGGATGCTGAGGCAGAGTCTTCTGAGAGGAAGACAGGTGATGTGTGGAGGGAGTGAAAAGTTGCGGCCCACCAGTGTGAAAGCCTAGGCACTGCTGTAAACCATGTTACTAAGGCCTGACAATGAAAAGAGAAGCAGCAGCTCCCTTGGCACCTGAGGAATTTTTCTCCTGACAGTCCTTCTTTAACTTGAAAAACAAGCCAATTTTAGCCAACTAAGTAATCCTTCTAAGTACCCTATAAATTTTCAATACCAAAAAAATTAATTCTCAAAACATAGTTCTTTGATACTGTGTTCAAAATGAGAATGAACTCCAGCCTTGGAGTCGCCACTCAAGAAAGAGCCACAGGTGCCGTTCGTATAGATCCATCTCTAGCATTTTAAAGGCCTTGTTTATTTAATTATTTTAACTTCATAAAATCGACCTAAATAATCTGTTAAAACGTTACTAAAACTTTACGGTTCCATCCTTAGTTTGAATTATGAAATGGTCCCCACTGGTTCATGTGCTGAACACTTGATCTTCCAGCTTGGTGGTATGCTGGAGGACTTTGGAAGTGTTAGCGGGTGGACACAGCTAGAGGAAACAGGTCACTGGAAACAAGTCCTTAGCGTCATCTTGCCTCTGGTCCCTTTCTTCTCCACATGCTCCTGTAACCAGGATGGTCTGCTCACGACAACACAGAAACATGGGAGAAAGTGACCATGAACGGACTCCTCCAGAACTGTGAATCAAAATACTTCCTGTGTGAAGTGGTTCAATTGGGCGCTTGGTCAAAGTCACACAAAAGCAATCAACATGGACACAGTTTTTAAAACTCATTTCATTCCCAAAGGCCATATTGCTTACCCTTAAATGCCTAACAAACAATTGGTTAAGCCTATTTCAAATAAACTTTCTGGAGTTACTTTTCAGACATGAGAAAGTGAAATGCAATCATCAAGCATCATTCATACATAAGAATAACAGGAAGGCCACCTTAAATTACTTCCAAACAACCAGTAAGAAGGTGAAAGGAAAGAAACGCTTCCAGGAGTTTTAAACGATGCTTACAACAACAACAACAAATGAGAACTGCATATTGTTTTAAATTTTATTTTTTTTCTAATGTATTTTCTAGGGTCTTGCTGTTAGAAAAAAAATGTTACCAAATAATTCTGTTTTCTGTTTAATTTTCAAGAACTTTTTCTTTAAGAAAAAGCGAAGAAAAGTTTCATCTGAAACTGTTGATTTAAGTTCAAAGTCTTTTAAGAAACTTCAATCCACCAAGAATAGGAGTGTTCACCTGTGACCTTCTGCCTGGATTTGTTCCCTGAATCCACTAAAAGTGCCGCATTGGGCTGAAATAGAAGGCAAACCCCTGCGCTTCTCAGCACTTGATAGGAGGAGAAACAAAGTGGCTTTTACTTCTAATGCACCCAGGAAACAGTCCTTCCTACACCATTGTTACAGGAACCCCCAGGCAACAAATAAATGTCCCTTGTATTTCCCAGAGCTGGGTTGAAACCACCTATATTTTGTCAATCTTATTTCTGGATCAAAACGAACAGCCTCTGACCAAGCAAAACAAAACCCTGAACACAAGAAGCAAAGAATAAACCAGAGCTCAATTTCTAAAGGGTTCCTTAGCCTGAGAATGCTATTGAACACCACCAAGAGCCCCCAGACAACTGCCAATCAGATTAATCCCCAAGAAAAATCACAGAGAAATTACAGCACATTACCTTGAAAGGCCTACAGGCCTTTAAATCCATGTTTCAGCAAATCAAAATAATCTATGCATTAACTCAGATCCACAATGATAATATATACTAACAGAAAGACGTCCTTTCAACAAAGGCTTGTGTCTACACTGGCTTCAGCCCACTGGAAAAGCATGTGGAACTGGAGTGCATACAAACAGCCTCTTTAACTGCACATGACCAGGTGCATCCTTGAGAGATGGACTAAATATCCATCCATCTGGACATGTGAGGTCTATGGTGTGTTTTCCAAGTCTCTCTCTTCACTGGAATTTATAAGATATGCTTTGAATTACTGGATATAAATACCTTACAATTCAGTACAAGTGAACTCAAAACACATTCGTCTTTGACTCTAAGATAAAAAGATGTAGGCACAGCCAGAGTCCCTTATCTCACAGAAGTACTATCTAATTTTAATAAGATCATTAGTAAGACAGTTATTAAAAATGTTACAGCAGCTAAGACGATAGGTATTTAGCTCTGCTTGATCCTCCAGGTGTCTGTGCTACTCCAGGTGTCTGTGCTGCTTCAGGTGTCTGTGCTACTCCAAGTGTCTGTGCTACTCCAGGTGTCTGTGCTACTCCAGGTGTCTGTGCTACTCCAGGTGTCTATGCTGCTCCAGGTGTCTATGCCAAGTCTTTAGGAAAAATGTTACACACTATTGGTCGCCACAATCCATCTCTAACTCTACCAACCAGGGAGCATTCTTCCCTTGCTTTTTCCCCAGCTCGACATGAGGTTCTATATGTAAACATTTCTCATAAAATTTGGGAAATATTGCATTTGTTCACATTTGATTGGAGTATCACTATAATCTTATATTTGTCCAAATCAGTCCTTTTAAGGTTTATTTTTTAATTATGTGTGTGACACACACACACACACACACACACACACACACACAGGAAGGGAGCAAGGGAGGAAAGCAGAGAGGGAGGTAGGGAAGGAGGGAAGGAGGGAGAGAGAGTGTTCCCATGGGGACTAGAAGAGGGATGTACCTCAGGCTGGACATATGGAAAAAGCAGTTGTGACAAGCTGCCCCTTCTCGGACACAGAGGTCGACTACACCACATAAGACTGATTGCATGGTGGCAACTACCTTCCTTGACCCATTTTCCCTCCTAGATTGTGGCACTAGGAGACTGCCAAGAGCCTGGTCAGCTGCTAAAGAAAATGCCCACATTTACCTTGTCGCCATGCGTATTCTGTGAGACAATGCTGAAGGAACTAAAATAACAGCCCAGATGCCCAAGCAGGCAGCCAGATCAAGTCGGTACCTGAGAAGCCGAGCAGCGCAACAAGGAGACCAAGTGGCACCTAGTGTAGTGTGCCCATGATTCCGCACGTAGAGGAGTGAGGGGTGCTGTGAGGAGTGAGGGGTGGGACACAGCCTGTGCACATGGGGGTTAGGCAGGCACTCTCGGTCCCACAAATGACTGTGAGGAAAACTACAAGACCCAGGTCCACACCCAGATGGCTAAAGTTGGGACACAGGGGGAGAGGGCCAGCTGTGAGGCCACCATAACGCCTGAAGGTGGAAGAAGTGGGGTCTCAGGCAGCTCTGAGAACCTGTCAAAGAACCAGGAGGCAGTTTTACTGACAGATACTTCCTACTCTTTGCTGGTAAAATATTTTCTGATTTGGAGACTGCATATACCACCAAGGCCCATATCTCAGAGCACAAGTGGTCAGGGCACATGATTCTCTGCACAGAACGTGTCCTAAGGGCTCCACTGAGGTTCCTGGTGGTAACAAGGACAGTCACAATTCTGAAACCTGCTAAGTTATAAACAACACAGAAAGTACCCCTGCATATTGGCTCCAGACAACAGGAAACACGCTGAACCTCTTTTGTCTGAAACAAAAGGAAACAGAAAAGTGCAGCCGCAGCTTGGGAGCAGGTAGCAGCAAACTCCCGCGCTGCACAGCTCCTCCTGGCTATGAGAGACGGTGTGGACGTGGCTGCACGTGTAAAGATGGGTTCATTAAAAGCCTCTGGTCATTCATTCTGCTTATTAAAGCCACTCACTCCACAGTAGTATTCACAATGGAAATCTCAGCTGCTACGGCAATGATACTAAAACACAATTAATCCCTCCTCCTGAAGTGTGTGTACGTATGTGCTCCAGGTACAGTGTTAATTGCCACTGCCTTGTACCACGGCTTCAATTAGGAATCCCAATGGGAGCAAGACAAACATGGATCCCATTAAGTTCCAGAAGAGTTGAAACTGAAGCCACACCCAACATACACACACACACACACACACACACACACACACACACACACACACACACACACACACACCAGCTCCACTCACTGATAGTGACCACAGAGGGCTCCATCTGGGGAACTATAGTGACACCCAGTGGCTGTCAAGGAAAGTGCAGAGCGAGGTCTATGGAAATGTGTTGCTACGGTGCCGGTGCCGCTTTAACCTAAGGGCAAATTTGAGGCTAGTCTGGGTTAAATAGTAAAAATCATGAGGTGGGGGAGAAAATATCTAGTCTTAAAAAGCTAAGAGAAGTCTTCTCAGTGTTGTAAAATTATTTAATATTATAAAATTATTTATATTTAAATAAGAATCTTTTTATTTCTCAATTATGTACAGGGAGCTGATTATTCTTGTGTATAGAAGTATTTTTCAGGCTAGAGATATTACCTCCTACCTTTTACAACCTATTCAGGGAATGAACACAAACATGTTGTTCCAACTGCCGTTAGAGGCATGGAATACTGATAAGGGTCTCCAAAGGAAACGTGACCAAGATACAGCTGCCTGTATTTGATGCCGAGGAAGACCACGGACCGCAGCCCCTAGAGTGCTGCAGCCTCCTCACCTACTGCTCAGTCATTTGGTACTCAGGTGAAGTCAGTGTTTGCAACTACTTTATTTGGATATGTAGCCTGGGTACACGGCCAAAGGAAGATCAACACAAGGAAAATCCAAAAGGAAATATCTTTGCCATAGCCTTTGGCCTCTGACTGATGAGTCTGGAAGATGATGTTCTGGTGTTTTGACTTCATTTCGGCAATGTCTAGAAAACACGTGAAGTCACGAAGAAGCACACTTTATAACAATGCCTAAAAGTTTAAATTCAGTGTGGAACTCACAACTATTTCAAAGACTTTATTAAAAATGTTTGCATTTAAAAGTACATTTCATTACCTAGTATAAATACTTGGTAGGTTTTTGTGAGCATGGCCCCTTTGTTTACAGAACAGATTTTTATTTCTGAATTTTGAAGCTGTTCGTCAGGCATAAATTGTGGTGACTATAATACAAAATGTTTCCTAAGTCCCCTAAGATAGAAATAAAAACAAGACAAAAGTATAAAATGTGGCACTTATATGTTGTGTCAATTAATAGCTGAATAGGTAATGAAATTGTCTGTAATATGGCAAGAATCTACTGAAAGTTATCATCAGGCTTCTTGGGAATTATCAGGAGCCGAAGTTAAACTCATCATAAGGGGCAATGAACAAAGCCAATGCTTAGGCTTTCCTGTCTGGGGAGGCAGGAGATGCCATAGGCCACTTAGCCCACCTTCAGTATTCAGATATCCTCAGAAGATTCTATGTGTTCCACACTCAGTTGTCACAATCAGTGGACCATGATGCAACAAAGCAGCTGACTGACCCAAGGATGCTTCAGGCATACTTTCCTCATTTCTTAGAAGTCTGAACATACCCCCAACTGTCTTCATCAAGAGAAAGTCTACCAACACTTTCCAAATGGTAGCAAAACTACTTTCAGAAGAGTGTATGTGTGTGTGTGTGTGTGTGTGTGTGTGTGTGTGTGTGTGTGTCTGCCTGCCTGTCTGTCTGGGCCAGGGTGTTGGACAGCAATTTCTTCCAAACTGAAACATCCTCTAACGGAGAGAGGCTCTGGAGACTTAGGAGGTAAGCAACTCACAAGTCCTAGGAAGTTCCTGAAACCTACAAGAACCCTCTCCAAGTTCAGGGAAGCAATCAACAACTGGAGGGGAGACTGAGCAGCTGGGATGACAGGAGGAAACTGACAAGCTGAACTGCCTGATGCAGAGTCTCTGATCTGTCACGTTCCTTGCAAGTCACAGAGAAAGTGCCATATTTGGCAGCTTTTTGGTTATGCAACAGCCTATGATCTGTTCACACCTGTAAGCAACCCCTGGCCCATACCTCAGTAAGTTATCACAATTCTTTGGACCTCCCAGTGCAACTTTGGGGGAACTGTTACTTTGTGTGTGAACAGCTTCCTCTCTGGGATGAGGAGACATTTGTGCATGTCTCTCCAGGAAAAGTCACACAACAGTGTATGTATGTAAGCACAGAGCGTATATTTGGAGGCAAGAGGTCAGAATATGTCCCCCTTGATTTTTCTAAGATGATCTCTTCTTGGTACCTAAAGCTGGCAGGATAAAGTGGGTTCTTGCCTCAAAGTCAGATCCGGATGTTTGTACCCCAAGCACTTTCCTAACTGAACCATCCGCCCAACCCCAGAATCTTTTTAAAGAAAGTCTACTGAATAACTCGGTGGTCATCATCATATTTTTCAATTTCATCCCATTCGAGAAAAAGGCAAAGTTCTTTTCAGAACTGGACCTAACTTTGGAATGCTGCTTTGAGATATAAACTGCAGAACAAATGAAACATGTATACTTTTGTAGCTATGTCAAAAAAGTGAACGACTGTTGAGATGAGTGTAAAAAAATCCTCTACAGTTCTCTAAATAAATCACTGGAAGTAATCTGGCTGTCAATAGCAAGCTATAAGAAATTATTTTGAAAATTGCTTAGTAACAGTTATATAATAAAAAGAGAAGTAATGTGTGGTGCATTGAATACCTGCCCTCCAAAGATAAACATAGACTTTGCAGGTATGATTAAGTAAGGAATCTGAAACAATGGCATTGCTGTAGATGATGGGGGAGGCCCTAAACATTGCTGGGATAAAAACAGGGGACTTAATAGAGACAGAAGAGAATTAGGCTACTGGACCAAGGAGGCTGGTCAGAGTGATGAGTCTGCAAGCCAAGGAATGCTGGCAGCCATGAGAAACTGAAAAGAAGAAGAAAAAAAAAAAAAGGAGAAAATTCTATCCGAGAGCCTCCAAAGGATTCACCCAAACTTTCACCTCATCCAAAGGCATTGATGTCATACCTCCAGAAGTGTGAGATGGTCAACTGCATTGTTATAAGCAAGCAAGTTCATGGTAACTTGTTACAGCACCCACGTGAAAGCAACACAAATTCGAATCAATGAACTAGCTTGCCATAACCCATCCCTTCCTTCTTTACCTATTTAAAGACAAAAGCATGTTTTCCCACCTAAGTACCTACAAGAACAAGAAAGTAGAGGAAAAATTATTACCAAACCTTGTTCTTACTCTCAGGGGCAATAAATTGTTTATATTTAATTAAAAGAAGACCTTAAAACTCCCTCCATAATTTACAATCCAGAGATGTATCCCACTAAATATTTGAGAAAAGACTACTATTTTTAAGTCTTGATTACTATTTTTTAAATGTTCAAAAAAATCTAGAGTGTATACTCCCAACCAACTCACAAGCAGACCAAATAAAATCTTTTTCTACTAACTTCTTGGCGGGGGGGGAGGGGGGGGTTCCTGTTATTATGAGATTTGACTATGAAATTTAACTCCATGCTTTGGTTCCAAAATTGATACATCTCCATCATGATTTAACTAGGAAAGGTGACATGTTTACAACATTTCTACCTTTGTTTCTATTCTGTGCTTTCTTTGTCCATCATCAATGGCTCCAAATGAAAAAGAAGAAAGGACTACTCAACACATAATTTATCTGTTTTGTGCACTGGAAGAAAGCCTTTGCCATCTGGTGGGTATGGATCCAGAAACTATTAGACAGTAGTCCTTCGTCCTTACCTACACCTGTGCGAGACAGGTACTCAAAAAGGGTCCAGCTGTTGTCATCCACATAGTGATTCTTCAGGATCAAGAGCTGGCAAACATCCCGGGCGGTGATGTCACTGGGCACTTCTAACGCCCTGCTGGTCTCATCCTCACTGTAGACTTTAATCACCTGCGTTTGTGAGAAACGAGAGAAAGAGCTCAGAGAGTTATCTCGGTTACTTTTCTGTGACAAAACACCTGAGAAAAGAAACTTAAAGAACGATGGGTTTATTTGGGGTTCATAGTTACAAGGAATTTGTGCCATCGTGATGGGTCGTCATGGCAACAGGAGCTTGAAGTGGCTGGTCACCACACTGTATCTGCAGTCAGGAAGCAGAGAGAGATGAATGTTTGCGCCCAGCTCAATTCCTCTTATGTACTGAATCCAGGGTCTAGCCTGTGTAATGGCGCCACTCACATTTACATGAATCTTACCATGCTAACTCTCGCAACCTTAATAATTCTTCAAACATACCAAATTTTGTTTCCATGGTGATTCTTTATATCGGAGGTATTCAGCATGAAATCATGAGATAGATATAACTAGTAAAATGGTTACCATGGAAGCAACTAATGTGTCAGTCATTCTCCAGTTACCCACACACTGCTGACCGCAAGGGAGCTGAGGTCACCTACTCTGCCATACCTCACATGACACCAGTCCACAGTCCTTGTGCTGGACTTTACAAGCTGCAGACTTTCTCTTCCCAGGCATCTGCTGATTTGCACATTAGAGCTATACCTCCCCACCCTTGCACCCAGTGACAACTACCTCGTCTTGTATAGCTATAGACTTGACATTTTTCTTCAATACTTCCAAACATAAATGAGATCTCTTCCTTCTGTGTCTGGATTAAGACATGAGGCAAACAGGGCTATTTTCTCTTTTGACAAAAGATCCTACTATATAGCCTGGGCTGGCCTCAAACTTACTATTTAACCCAGGCTAGCCTGAAATGTGCAGCAGTCCTCCTGCCTCAGCCTTTCAAATGCTGAGATTACAGGCAAAAGCTATTACACTCAGCTCAGGATCTCCTCCTTTTAAAAGATCCATTATGATCATACATACACATAAATACATCTTTATACATCTGTCTGCTAGTGGGACACAGGTGGTTCCCATATAGTGGCATCATTAATAACTTCACAATGAGCATGAAACTACAAATCTCTGTAAGAAGTAGTGATTTTAGTTCCTTTGAGTGTCTGCCCACTGAGTCACATGGTAGTTCTATGTAATTTCTTTAGAAACATCTGTGCCATTTTTCATAATGCTGATTAATATGCCCTTCTTCCTGCATCCAAATAGAAGCCTTTCTCCTTTCCACCACATCATCTCCAGAGCAACGTCTTTTGGTCTCTGCAAGACGGCACCTCATAGTGTTTCTGATTTATACTTCTCAGGGCTCAGTGTCTTCTCACACACCTGTCAGCTGACCATTCTAATGCCTTTAGAGAAATGGTGCAGCTCATTTCTCACTCTGATAGTCTTCTGCTGTTGAGTTGTAAGAAAGTAGCCTTATCAGGTGCATGACTTTCAAATATCTAGGCAGTTCCATGCTATACGAAGACCTTCACTGAAATATTCCATTCAAACAAATGTCATTCTTGTGAGTCATCAAATTTGTCAATTGAGCATAAACTCCATACAAAATCCCTTGTGCATTTCATCTTCTTACATGCATCTACACCTAGGTACCAAACCACTTCATTCAACAACTTCTGTCTTCTCTCCATTACCTGAACTAAGTTCCATTTGATGACTAGTCTGTCATTGCTTCACCATTCGGGTCTATTAAAAACTATGAGCTTCTTATCAATATTCTACATTTTCCTTTCCATATTTATATTTTGTAAACAGTCGAAGAAGTTTGGGTGCTCTACACTGAGATATAGTCATGAAGCCCAGAATACAGCAGACTATCTGGCAAAATGTTGCGGCTTCAGGGACGTCAGGCAGTTTGAGCAAGGGCTCAGTGGGTATTCATGGGTCCTTTAACACTTCTTTTCTCGCTTGCAATCCGTGTGGCCGTGGAATGGAGTTTTAGTCAGCAGAATGCAAGCCCGTGGAACAGCAAGCCTCCGGATCTGTCCCGTGAAATTGTACCACATGTCTCGACTGTCTTTCAGCACCCTCCCCCAGAATGAAAACAACTGCACAGACCTTGAGGAGAGTAAGGTCACAGGCAGAAGGAATTCTTGTCCCTAAATGACTTCAAGGACAACTCCCCGCCAGGAGTATCCTTGTGAATAAGAAGCAAATTTATACTCTGTCAACTCTGTGAATTAGGAGTGAACTACTAGAGCATCCAATATCCAACTGAAGCGACACAGAATTAGAAGTTTCTACAAAGAAGCCACTCAGCATTTGCCAAGCTGTGCTCTGTACTAGAGTCTCCAGTATCAATTATTATCTGTATGAAGTTAATAATAAGCCTTCACATGGCGATGGAGCAAATCTGTAGCTGTGCACATATGCCAAAGTGAGAAACCATAAAATGCAGTGCAGAAAACATGCCTATCATAGGAACACCAGCATTTACATGTGGCCAGTAATTCAGACAAAAGCAGTAGAGAACAATGGGCCAATTCAGTCTTCTCATTTTTTAAAGTATACTTTATTATATCACAATGAGGTAAATTCTCTCTTACAATGAAGAGGTGACATAAAACGAAAAATTATTCTGTGTAGCAGGAATCCTAAAAGATCTTATTAATAAAAACAAACCCAGTGACAGTTATTGGGGTGGACGCTGGAAGATCAGAGAAGCAGAACAAGCCACAGCCACCTCACTTCACCAATTCCTCAGCTGATTCTGTTTCCTCAGACTGGAAGCCTCTGAGTCCTCATCCAAATGGATCTCAGCTGAACTGCTGCTAAAAGTCTAAAAGCTTAACAAGACTCTATTTCCTAGTCCTTACGCCTTATATACCTTTCTGCTTCCTGCCATCACTTCCTGGGATTAAAGGCGTGAGTCACCGTGCCTGGCTGTTTCCAGTGTGGCTTTGAACTCACAGAGATCTGGATGGATCTCTGCCTCCAGAATGCTAGGATTAAAGGTGTGTGTGCCACCATTTTCTGGCCTCTATGTCTATCTAGTGGCTGTGCTGTTTTCTGACCCCAGATAAGTTTATTAAGGTGCCCAATATATTGGGGGAACAATATCACCACAATTCTGTGTATTAATGGGAGGATATTTATTGAAAGTATTAAAAGGTCCATTCCTTTGACCCAGCGATTTCACTTCAGCAAAACATCTCCAAAAAAAAAAAAAAAAATGTTTTTGCTAACTTTAGAAAGTGAGTTTTAGAAATTGACATGGCCAACAAAGCATTATTCATAATTCTAATGACCTAAGTTTACAACAATAAAAGAAAAAATAATACTGCTATATAAAAGACTGTTTGGGGGACCTTGAAAACACTACCCAAAGAAATTATATAAGAATATTGAGAGCCAGGCATGGTGGCACTTGACTGTAATCCCAGCACTTGAGAAATAGAGACAGGATAATCCAGAACCCAAGGCTAGGCCTGACTACAAAGCAGGTTTGAGGCCAGCCTGAGGGAGTGGGGTTTCAAACACTTACAGGATACACCACAAGCTTCCCTAACCTTGGCTTCTGGCCTCCTATCTGTCTTCTCTGACTGTCATTTCTTTCTTAAGCAGTTCTCTTCCCCGTCTCCATCACCAGCTACCTTTTCAATTGTGGTTACTCCTCGTCCAGCTCAGGGACGCTGTACTGGAGTTCTGGGACTGGCTTTGGTGGAACCCCAGAACCTGGGAAGCCAGGCATCTTGGAATGAACCATGACAGAGGCCAGTGTTGTAAGAGCCATATCTGTCCAACAATCATTGTGTGGGATCTCTGTTCTCCAGAGCTGCAGCTGTGGAGATGTAGGCTGCTACTGGTCACGAAGACAGTGGCCATGGGCAGATGCAACCCATATGGAGGAAGCCATGTGACAATATGCTGAATGTTTGTGCCTAACACAATTCCCATATTGAAACCCTAATCCCAGAGTGATGAGATGACCTGTGCTCTGGCCTTTGGGGGGCAGTCAGTCTAGGGTTGTGGCTCTTCTGGATACAATCAAGGTTTTATGGAATAGGTCACTCTATGATACTATTAAAAAAAAATACACCTAACAAGCTTTCCTATCACATGTGAAGCTCCTCCTGGAACTCACATCTCTGCTCTATGTGCCTCCCCCATGTTTATTTTGGAAAATGCCTACTTATAGTTCACCTAAATTCAAATTAATTCCTCTTCAGAAAGCTATCTTGAATGTTCAGAGCTTCATGATGTGTCTTCCCCACCTGTGTTAGCAAGCGCCCACCCCCACAAAAGTTTCTGTCTATTCACTACTTACATTTGTACCACAGTAACCTACCCTAGGTCACCCTGGCTTGATGAAGCCCTGCCAGGCAGGTGCAGTTAATATCCACGGCGAAGCCTACCAGCATGCTGCACACAGTAAATATTCAATACATCTTCTTGACATCCAATTTGAAACTATTTTCCACCACGGTAAATATAATTACTCAAAAATATCTTTGTTCCGGAAAGTTGTTTGTACACACAATTTTTCAGTGGGGAAAAAAATCCCAAGTAGGAACTGATTCAATATGGCAGACTTGAGTTACAAAGCCACTGAGGCAGCCACGGAGAATCATGATGGTTGTTGAACTTGTCCTCCTGTCACCTGTCACCTAGCAGTTCCCTACATAGTGACTTGTGTAGAGTTTCATTGTGCCATCGTCTTCAGTAGGCTGTTGCTCATGAGGGCATGCCTCCTACATCCGGGTCTGGGGTAGGAGACCAGGCTAGACCAGGGCTGACTGTCTAAGGGACGCTGCCACTGTGCCCGTCCTACTGTGCTTACAGTGTACTTGACCAAACTTTAGAAGTTTATGCTTCTGCCAACAGCCATGTGAGCATAACCATTGGGTGAGCATGGGACTCAGGGGAGCAATGGTGTGTCCTGCAGCCAAAACCCAGGAAGAGAGGCTGGAGAAGGATGGGTGAGCTGGAAAGATCCCCTCAGTTTCCTGACTACCCTGTGTGTTTTCTCACAGCAAACTCTCATCACCTGGTGTCAGAGAAGCCTGCTTCTTAATTTCCATGTCCATCTTTGATTTCACGGAAGCTACAAAAATAAAGCCAGAGACACTCAGAAGCTACGCTAGATTGCAAACAAGGGCAAGAAGAGCAAAGAGCAGGATGGAAGACTGAGAAACCAAGAGTTTGGCCACCTGCCCAGGAAACTCCACTGCTTCATGCAGCCTCTGTGGTTTCAAATTTTGAAGATTACCAAGAATTGAGACATGTAACCCAAGAACCTCACTACTTTATTATACCTATCAATTATATCTATCTCCAGTGCAAAAGTACCAGAAAATTAAATTTCAGAAGCAAAGCCAACAGAAACTTTTCTTGAACTTGGCCACAAAGGCAACTGAAATTTATGGAATAAGTGTTATTGATTTTAAAAAATAATATGTACTGAAAAGAAGCAATACTTTGGTTTGAACTCCATTTAAAAGCCTGATTTTGTAAAAAGAAAAAAAAAGACAGAAGGAAAACTAATGCTGATGTTTTTCAAATATACACTTTTGTGTTCTGTGTATATGCATTTATATGCATATATGTATGTGTGGCATGTGTGTGCACATGTGTATATGGGTGGTACGTATGTACATGTTTGTGTGGTACATGTATGTCTGCAGTGTGTTATGTGTGAGGTATGTGTGGTGTGTGTATGTATGTGTGTGTATGTTTGTGCAGAGTGTATGGGTGTGTGTGTGTCTGTCTGTGTGTCTGTCTGTGTGTCTATGTGTGTATGTAGTAGTGTGGTGAGATTTTACCTAGGTTGGCATTCCCCTGTAGCACATCCCTAGGGTCTCTGGAACCCACTCAGTAATAGAACATTTTTCATGCTACTAGTGCAGAAAGGCAATTGAAAGCTCTGTTCTGTGTCTACTGATCTCCTTTAAATATGTGAAGACAGAAAAGATAATCTAAGCCTCAGCTCTCAAGTGGGGTTAGGCGTCTTGCAAAAAGCATTGCTACACTAAAAACTTCCTATCTAAGAAAAAGAAATCAACTCCTCACAGAAGCCACAGGACTGGTGTGTGTAAAACTCAAGCTTGGACTGTTTAGGATCTTGGGAAAACAAATAACACACTGTTCTTGAGATCCCTCAGAACACAGTATTAGTATCCTGTTTCCTCTACAGCCTGAAAGCTAAAAAGGGCTGAAGTTTATATAATCATCCTTTTAAATAAAAGAATATTAAACATTTCTAGTTAAGTGCCCCAAATTCCCAGCCTGCTTTATAGTGTGAAGAAAATAGAATGAGAAGACTAATAGCATTTGAAGTTGTACACCAGCAGAAAGAAATTCTGCTTGGATCCAAAGAACAGGAACCGACTGGCTTTAGCAATAGTTAGACAGTTGAGTAACAAGTGACTCACAGCTCTGATAGGTCTGTTTAGAGCAGCATCTCTCTAGCATAAACAAACTGCCCGAGGGAAGCCAAGGTGTATGCAATGGCGACAACGAGGAGAAATCCTTCAGTGTGAGCAGATGGCTAACAAACTGAGCAAGCTGAACCATCTCAGCCTTCAGAGCCGGTGGGAGCTCCGAAGTCTGCTCCAGCAGCACAGGCCTGAAGCACGCGAGATCACACGGCAGGGACACACAGTCTGGAGTAGGGGTGAGTGCATCCATTTACGGGGATATCCTAGTTTAAACCCTTGATCCATCAACTCCTCTTCTTCCATACAAAATAAGCAAAGGAAAGAGATTTCAAAACCCACCTATCCATTTAAATAGGACACACACACACACACACACACACACACACACACACACACACACACAGAATAGTTGACCTCAGAACAATGAATGAGGGCCCTAGACTTAAAGAGACAAAATACTTAAAATATAAACTGAAGGTTGAGTCTTAAAAATAAAAATAAGCCGGGTGGTGGTGGCGCACGCCTTTAATCCCAGCACTTGGGAGGCAGAGCCAGGCGGATCTCTGTGAGTTCGAGGCCAGCCTGGGCTACCAAGTGAGTCCCAGGAAAGGCACAAAGCTACACAGAGAAACCCTGTCTCGAAAAACCAAAAAATAAATAAATAAATAAATAAATAAATAAATAAATAAATAAATAAATAAATAAAAAATAAAAATAAAAACAAAGACAGAGGCTGTGAGTTAGGGCAGTATGCACTGCCTTACTCTCAGAGCACTCTGTGGATTTCTGTGAAATCACCTGGAATTTGATTCTAAGAGTAGATTGTATGGAGAAACCCTGGAAAACAGAGCAGACACTAAGCAAGGCCCTTCCCTGGCCCCGCTGCTGACCACAGCAGTGGATGCCAAGGGGATTCTCAGTCCCTTTCAAGAGTAGCGGGAATGAGTCAGGACTGGTGAGTGGACTGAGTATTTTACAAGGGTTTTCCAGACTGCCATCGTAGGAAACTGATGAATGCCCCAGAGTTTTGCCCTCAGTGTCTTTTGCTTCTTCAAAGGGTGGTCCAGGGCTTGTCATTCAATGTGTGTGGGGGGAGGCGGGGGTGCTAACCAGTAATAATAAAAATCAATAGAATGGAGTCAGAGAAAGAAAAAAGGGCAAACAGAGGAATAATGTCCGGGGCATGACTGCACCCTGCTGTCTCCTGTGCTGAAATTTCTATTTGAGGAAAAGTTTGAACTCAAGTACTATTAACTAATATTGAATTTAAAATAATTTGGTGAATGTATTTTAAATGGATCTTACAACAACCACAATTATAAAAACTGTTTAAGCACAAAGTTCCATTATTTTATCATATGTATTAATCATAGCTATCATTAGCATGTAATTACTAGGAAATTAAAGTTAAGAGGAAAGTTCCACCGAGAAGTTCCCTGAACTGGGCTCCAAAGTAGAGCTTATTTTGTTCCTGTAATTTTTCAAAAGTTCATCACCAACTAAAGTCAGATTACAAAACATCTTCTCATGGTTCAAGATTTCTTGTTGTTTTTTAACAGATAGAAGATGTACTTAAATCATGCGAATATTTTTATAGCAAGGTCAGAGCAGCCTTGAATCTTCACATTCTTCTAAATAAGGACTGCTGTGCCCCGAGATAAGAGGAGACAGTGTAGGGATTTTGAATTAAACAAGTCTGTGTGTTTGCTTAAGGGAATGGAAATAATGCATTCATTAGTTCTTATTCCGTGTCTCTGCTTTTCAAACACTGACTCTCTAGAACAGCTCTGCTCCAAAAGCCCCTGGTTCTCAGGAAAAGCTGCTGCTTTCTATGTCTCTACTGAACTCTTTTCCTAGGTGTGAAATACGGAGAGCAGAGGAGGACATGGTTCAGAGACACGAGACATAATAAAGTCTTAAATTTGAAGGAAATATTGAAAAAGCATTATACCAGAGCACAAACTGTGCGTTTTTAATTGGTTTGAGTAATTCAAAACAGGTAAATGTCACTAATAATGACTTTCAGGAACTGACATAACAAGATCCACCTCATCCACTTACTCTGCTTCTCGGCTTCATTCCACACAACCTGCTCCTTCCTCCCTGACTCCAACCACCCACCACCACCACCCCCATTTCTTACAAGAGCCGAGTTCTTTCCAAAACACAGGACCTTGGCACTAAAGCACGAACTGCTGGTATTATATGAGCCATCCCCCCACAGCCTACTTTTCTTCCCTAAAATCTCAGACACACCATTATTTCTATGAAGGAGGTTTCAATGATCTTTCCAGTTTAGGGCCAGAGTGTCTATTCCACATCTGGTGCACCTATGCCATCAACATCCAAGGTCCTTGCTAACCAGAATGCCACATGACCTCGGAGTTATAGCTGCCTCCCATGATCTCTAAATCAGCTAGTAGAGCACAGGGCTCACAGCGGACAATTGAAACAGTTATTCCGTAGTGAATGGAGTCATTGTCTGTAGCCCCATGTGAGACATTAGGGATTCCACAGCAGCAGTATCGAGCCCTCCAGTTTGAAACCACACAAGCAAACCAAAGACAAAAAATATTAACAAGTTTTCATGGCATTTCTCGGCTGAACAAAGGCCAGCCAGGAGATTATGGTGGCATGGTGGCATGTTTGGGGTTGGGTGAAAAGTTAAAACACATAGGGGAAAACCTGGGTGGAGCAAATATTATGAGAAAAGATATTAAGAAAGGAAAAAAGCAAATATAATAATAGCAATAATTTTGCAGAAAACAATCCAAAATGAGGAGACTCGTACTGCCTTCACAAGACTAGTGAAGCTAGCACTAGTCACTTGCCAGCAGACTACCGAGGGGAAAGTGGCCTCACCCAGAACTGCTGGGCACCTATTTCCCTTGCTACTACCACAATGTAGGACCATGTCTACAACACTCAAATTACAAGGCACCTCTAAAGTCAAAATTAGCTGGGGATATAGTGATAAGGTTTAAAATACAAGTTTTGCATGGTTTTGCTTAATAGTCTCAAGAGAATAGACTGATGAATAGCCTCATGGTGAGGGCATCATCCAGGAAAGAGTTTAGCTACTAAGATCTACCCTGGATCTTCTTCTTTTCCCATTCAGAAGATCTGGGTTTGAGTAGGCAGGTCCCTCACTTTCCTACTGACCTGGGGTCTTTAAGCTCATCCCTAACCTTTTTCCTCTTCAGACCACCTCAGGGTGGATGGTCATGAGCTTCCTGTGTAGGAGTGCTGACTTAGCAGGCATCTGCTTGCCGTTCTGCTTCGTCTGGACAGTTATAAGGACTGCCTGGTCAAAGACAACAGATTCAAGACTCAAAGACCTGCATAACCGGGCATCGAGTTCTGCATACAGATGCAGAATGCACTGGGGGAAGGTTTAGAATGTACCAAACTAGTTCCCCTTTCTGCACTGGGTATAAAAGGCCCCATGCACCCTCAATAGTGGATATGTCCTAAAGTTGACCTGGAAAGAGATTTCAAATTGCCACATATGAGACCTGAGACCTGGCTCACATCTAGGCTTCCAACCTAAGCTATTCCCACATACACACACACACACACACACACACACACACACACACACACACACACACACACACACACTACATTTCTGTGCATTTGAATTCAGTGTGTGTTACTGAGAGTCAAGTCATAAATCCCACACTACATTCCCAATGACTTCATCTAAGACATGTCTCTGATAGTTGGTATCTTAAAACACATGAAAGTCATATAAAAGTAACTCCTCTCTGCAAGGTCCAAACCTTCTCAAATGCTAACACTTACTCATACTTAAGGCAGAAATCTACTGGTCAAGCTTCTGTTGGGCACAATGTTATCTTGCTATCTCCTTTCAGTTTTTAAGTAACCATTGATTCCCCAAATAACCACTAGGTGCCTAAATGAAAAAGTTCCAAATCAGCTCACACAGTGAGAAAGAAGGGCAAATGGAGAAGGGTAGAGAGGAAAGAATCCAGGGAGAGGAGGAGGCTGCACACACGACATATCAACTGTATTGCATTTACTGAGATGTGTGATATCATGTAGTATCCCTGCACTGTTAGGAATTATTTGTTTTCATTGATTTTTAAATTTTTTTTTATAATTTAATGTCTCAGAAATTCACATGAAGCTTACCATAAAAGGTCTGTAGTATTTAACTGGAAATATATAAAATAACATTTTTATGTAATATATAGTGCCAACTAGTCAATGATATATGCTATGTACAGTCTTTCTGTGTTATTTATGTGTTACTCTATAGACTTAAAATAGCACCTCAAAAAAAATCACTTTTCAGATCCTCACTTTCCAGATTTAAACATTCCCATGCTGTGACAATTCTAGGGACAATAAATTTATATCCATGCTGCAATCCTGGCTTTTGTTAAACTTTTACACATTTCTCATGTAATAGGTGTGAAATGCAAAGCATGCATATTCCTTTTTTAAAAACAGAATCAATGTTGTCTGACTAATAAGATAATAAAGTTAGAAGACTTCGGGCTGAAAAACTAACAAAGTGCCCTAGTTTTAGAAAGGCGTAAGTCAAGGCTCCAGCGCTTGCTCGGGCACCTGTTCCCTGGCAGAGCGATGGAACCTGTTTAGGCTCCAGCCGGATGCTGCCTGAATTCTTCTCCCACTGCTAGTCCAGCGTCCATGCCTCTTTAGACGGCTACTGCTATGTGATATGTGATGTAAAATTGTTAGCTAGCTACACACTACACTAGAATATAAGTGCAATGTGTGTCACAAAGCACCTAGCTTTTGAAATGCCGAAGAGTCGTTTGCTTTTTTCATATTTTGTGAGAAAATACGCAAATATAGAAACAGCCAGCAGAGGGAGTCTTTATTCTGAGTTGGTTCAAATACCGACACCTCCCCCACCATCACCCCCCACCCCACTGCCACCAATTACGTTTCTCTGTCTGGGGTGATGGTTCAGCTTGCTGCCAGGTCTGCACACCTAAATAAAATCCTTGGGACCCACAGGGTGGAGAAAGAACTGACTGCCACAAGGTATTCTCTGACCTCCTCAAGGATACCCATTCCCCACCCCAAACAAACATACACAGTAAATAAATACTTGTAAAACTAACTAAATAAATAATGAAGGAAATACATGTCTTGAAAATTACCAGAGAAAGGGGAGGGGAGGGAGGGAGGGAGGGAGGGAGAATATTTTCTGAGTTCTTGTGATTTAAAATATAGGGATGAGTGCATAATCACTTTCTGACAATGTGTCTATTCCCAACACATTTTTTTTTTTAAATTTCTCTTTGGGAACTGTCTGAAAACTGAGCATTTTTAATACCCCGCAGGGGTAGAAACTTTCATATTTTCTGGGGAGGTAGTATCTGAAACTACTAAAAGTCCTACTTACTTCCTTGCCAACAGAGAGATTATTATTTTTAAATTCTGGCTCAAGGGACTGGGGCACAGCCAAGAGAGCCAGCCCTCCAGACTGCCCCAAGCAGAAGTCTGAGACTGTCCACCAGGCCAGCTATTTTTAATCAGCCTTCCATGCCAGGCATGGACCAGGCATTGTGGTTTACAAAATAATGTGAGGCTCGGTGCCTGTTCCCATGGAGTTACAGCCCAGGTGTCTACAGTGCTGGGAATACTGGAATTTGATCTGGGTCAGACTGGTAACCATCAACTGACCATCTTCTGCATCTTAGGCGCCTCAAACCTTACAGTGTGCAAAGAGCCAACAGCACTCAGTGTTGTGTGTTGTGTCTTAGCAATAGTGTTGTAAAGTCTAAAGCAGAGGAAGTTTACTGTGACAGAGTCCAAGGAACCCTTAGAACCCTAAGTGTATTCTCAGGTACTCTGACATGTTAGCTTAGTCACTGGCTGGGAAGTAAGACTTGAGGACACAGCAAGGAGCAGTGACCAGAGGGCAAAAGTAGATTGGCAGAAGAGGTGAGAATTGTCCCATGTGAAGAGTACAGGTAAGGGGAGAAGCTGTTCCGTGAAGCCAGGCCATGCACTGTGTATGCCCAAGCCGTTGTATGGAATAGGGCTATGCAGTGTGTGCCTAGGATGTTGTGTGGAGCCGGGTCATGCACTGTATGTGCCCAGACTCTTGTGTGGAATAGGGCCATGCAGCGTGTGCCCAGGCTGTTCTGTGAAGCCAGGTTGTACACTGTGTATGCTTACGATGTTGTGGGAGCAGGGCCATGCACTGTGTGTGCTTAGGATGTTGTGTGGAGCCGGGCCTTGCAGGGTGTGCCCAGGCTGTTATGTGGAACAGAGCCATGCAGTGTATGTGTGCCCAGGCTGTTCTGTGAAGCCAGGCCATGCACTGTGTGTGCCTAGGATGCTGTGCAGAGCAGGGGTGTACAGTATGCATGCCCAGGCTGTTCTGTGAAACAGGGCTATGAAGTGTGTGTGCCTAGGATGTTGTATGGAGCAGGGCCATGCACTGTGTGCCTAGAATGTTGTGCAGAGCAGGGGTGTACAGTGTATGTGCCTAGGCTCTTTTGCACAGCAGGGTCATGCAGTATGCGTTCCTCAGCTGTTACAGGGAGTGTGGGTGTGCAGCATGTGTGCCCAGGTTGTTTGGTGACAGCTTTCTGTCTGGGAAGAGAGTTCTAGCCTATAGCCCCGCCCCCTGTCATTTACTAGTGGGAGCTTTGGTGATGACCTTTCTCCAAACCAATCTTCCTTATCCAGAACAGGTTTGGCCACCAACCTTATGAGGCTCTTATGAAGACTACAGAGAATGTGACTCGGTACTAAGCGGATCACAGTTGCTTTGGTTTCTACTGCTCTCTGGGGAAGGCCAGAGAATCTTCTAACTGGTCAAAAGCAACAAGTTGGAGCTGGATAAAAATAATAAAAAAGTCCAGGACTGTGGCTTTTCACCCTAAGGAATAAAACTCTAAGAAGAATAAAGAGAAACAAAAATGTTGAGAAATATTAATAGTAGGTCAGTATCTTCTTGTCACAAAAACCAAGTTTACACAAATAATAGGAATTGCCGTTTGAGTAGCCCGTTTGAAGCACTTCAGTGAAAAGTATATCAGATTTCTTTTCTTTCTTATTTTCCTTTTTTTTTCATTTTGGAGTATTTGTGCATACACAATGAGCTATCCCAAAGTAAGACCCCCTCTGTCAACATCTGAATCAGTTATGTTTCACCTACACTTCTCTACAGAGTTTGGGGCAATTCTATTCAGTGTCTTTGGTGTACATTTTTTTTTTTTTGCTTTAAATTTAGGAGTATTTCACATATGGGATTTTCAAATTAAGGGTGTTCTGCCTGTATAGATTAATATTGTGCTTTCACTGTCCACGTCATGATCAAAGGTGGCACAGCCCCAGTGCCACGCAGCTAACCTGCAAACACTGCCAACCTTTCGGCCTTCATACAGCTCCGTCTTGCACGAGCACACAATCTGTAAGTCCCTGACTAACAGCCCCTGAGACGAAGAATCATCTAACTGCATATCTTGTTGCATTTCAATGTACGCTCCCAGAAAAGACAGATGAGAGGTAGATATACGTGAACTCTACATATTAGTAATTCATTTTCTTAAGTTCCATGGCAGCCGTAAATACGGTTACAGAAAGCCAGCAGTGGGAATAGAATTTGTAAAGTATGCCATTCTTCTGGCCCTGGTGGCATGATATAAAGGACAATAAGTTTTTATTGAATTCATTTGCTACAACAAAAAAATTGTAGGTAACCACTTTAGCAGAAACTTAAATTCCTGATAATAGCAAAGTTTTTATTTAATATTTTCTCATACAATGCAATTTAAACTGCTCATGAAGCTAATAAAACATGGTACTTTGAAGCCAAGCACAGTGGTGCACATCTGTTCTCCCAGCTTTCAGGAGGCTGTAGGAAAGAATGTAGTGGTTGAAGCCATTCTGGATTACATACAGGAACTGTCTCTCAGCAAATACACACTCTACTAATGACAGCAGATCAAAACCCAATCTCACAAATGAATAAAAAACACAGCACATGCCTTTTCTTGGGTCAGGAAAGTAATGCACATTTGCTGGGCTTCTGCTATGTGCTAATGCTTTTAAGTATTTGTCTGTTTTGTGCTCACCAGCGGTCCATGTAAATACAGCATTGTGAGGAACACAGAGAAACTGGCTGTCACGTAAGACAGGATATGCCTAAGGTCACTCCACAGGTTAAGGAGAGTACTGAGCTCAGGTGCCAGGCTTTCTACCTCCAAAACACACAATGTCCACCAAGGCATGTTTACTGAAACCTTATTTCTCAAGGAAGGGAATACTCTGTGTAAATATAACCCAAACCATGCTCTGGGTGACACCCTTCTAAGTTAAGGACAAAGTTAAGTTACCCTAATAAAAATGACATGAGCAGGAAGAAAACCAAGGTTTAAAAGGAATGAGATTTTACAAGTAGGAATAATTACCACTGTACCCTCCAAGCAAGACTCCATCTAAATTGAAGTACCACCTGTAGACACCCATGGCCCTGCCCCACTCAGAGAAGCAGCCATCTCCTCAATTAGCCCACCTGCCATCCCCACACAAGCACAGAATACATTTCCTCCAATGGACACCACCAAACTTGGTACATGGTATCATAATAGTATGGTATTTACAAATATTTACTGAATGCCAAGGACAGCAGAGGCACTTATGGTAGTGATGGCTAGCTGAGCCTCAAGGCCACCCTTCATATATTCCTTTCCAAAGAATCCTGATGCCTAAATTGTTTGGAGAATAGAGTCCTTTCAGAAACTCCTTTTCTACCCTATGCCTTGTAGGGTTTTGCCCATGTTTTCTTCTAGACATTTCATTGTTTGGGGTTTCCTATCAAGGTTCTTGATCCATTTGAAGCTAATTTTTGTGCTGGGCAACAGATATGGGTCTAATTTCATTCTTCTACATGTTGACACTCGGTTTTCCCAGCACTATTTGTGAGATATCAGTTACACATACTCATGTTTACGTCTTCTATTTTGTTCTGTTCACTTTCATGTCTGTTTCTGTGCCGACGGAATACTGGCTTTATTACCACAGCTCTGTAACACATCTTGAGATACGAAATGGTCATCCCTCTAACATTGTTCTTTTTCTTCAGGGTTGCTTTGGAGTCCTTTTGGTTACATGGGAACTTGAGGATGGTTTTGCCTTTCTGTGAAGAATGTTATAAGTGTCTTGATAGCATTGCATTGACTCTGTAAATAGCTTTTGGTGGTGCACAGCCCCAACTGATAAATCTACAACACAACTCCTAGAGCTAAGGCTCAGAAACATCACAAAAGAGAGATCAGAAAGATTGTAAGAACCAGAAGACCAGGACATCTGCTATGAGACGGTAATTTCTATATATAAAGAGGAAGCTGCACCCACAAAATCTCAACAATATGGTCTCCTAAACAATATCACAATAGCATCATCAGTTAACAAGCCAACACAAATGAAGAAAATCTCATGGGTTCCCATCCCTAGATGAAGAGCTACAGATAATTAATGACTGCTGAAAGAAAGAAGATGCACCCCTAAATGATTATCCAAGTGGTCAGCCCTATATATATAAGCATCACTAAATGGCTCCCCAGTTTGTGTGTGTGTGTGTGTGTGTGTGTGTGTGTGTGTGTGTGTGTATGTGTGTGTAATACAATAAAAATCAAAGAAACAGAGACTAAGAATTTGAGAGTGAACAGGGGAGGGGTGATATATAAGGAATTGGAGGAGGGGAGGGAGCAAAAATGATGTAGACACAGTATACTTGTATGAAATTATTAAAATAAACTTAATTTTAATGGAATCCTGATGCTAGTGAGGAGCCCAGCGTATTGAGCTCTGGGCCTGCTTTCCCAGTGTGCTTTGTGTTCGGTTACCCGACAGGGTCCAGGCGCAGCCAGGAAGTATGAGCGCTGGTTTGTTCTCGAGTGTCACATTAACAGGAGCTAGCACTGGCCAGTTAGCCTGCCTGCCTTGTGCATCCATCCTCAGTGCCAAGACTGTGAACAGAACGCCTGAGGACTCACATTTATCACTCCATAAAAGGGAAGGGGACTCACACCAGGGAGCATATACTAAGCAAGAGAGAATTTGGTTGCCTAAGGACATTGTGGCTGCTGGATGAGCTGTGGCCTGATCTTTACTGCAAAGCATGAGAAAACAAATCCCTCCCCTGTTCGGTCCATGTCTTTGGTCTTTTCTGGCTACATGAAGTTAAATTCTGTGTATAAGCAACAAACTGTTAAACTGGAATTGCAAAATAAAATATTAAACTAAATCAAGCCAAAAAAAGAAAGAAAGAAAGAATTCTGAAAAACAAATACTGAAAAAATAATAAATCCAAAAATAACAAAACACACAAAGACTAAAAAGCCAAATCTAAAAAGTTCAGGAGCCTTGGATAAATACACATGATGGCTACTAAAATTTCAGTATTATGAAAGGCGACAGTAAAATAATGTCCCTGAATGTGGTTGCTGAGTAACAAAGGCATGTTCTTTCGTCCAGAATTAAGGCACCAAAGCGAAAAGCAAAGAGAGACTTTTAGAGGACTCGAATAAGTCTACAGCTTGGGTAGAGACTTAAACAACAGCATTTGGGAGAGAAAGCAGGAGGCATAGGAGAGCTGAAGAGCCAACCTTGGGAGCTGAAGCAGAGAGCCCTTGGGGTTAAAGTCATCTCAAGTGGAAGGAGGAAAGGGCTCCCTTGCAGGCTCCTGTGAAGCTGGGCAGCTCCATGGCCAGCCAGACCTGGAGCACGTATTCACTGAGCAGCTATGAATCTGCTCAAAACTTTCTGGGAGAAACAGTAATATGATGGTTTGGAATTACAGCAAGGACTGGCTGTTTGAGAAATACGATAAGATTAGAACATAAGACACTATCTTGTATCAAAACAGAATTCCTACCTACAAATGGCTTTGGGTCTTAAGAAAAAGTATATTGTAAAAATTGGGTTTTTCCCACCTCTTTCATTTCTGAAACTACTTTAAGATGCCATGTGCTTATTATGAATGTCTCCTGCAAAAGTAGGCTGCATGAAGAACGCAAAACAATTTGCAAACATAATCTAAAAAGCAGTATTAATCGAACAAAGGGCATCAAATACTGCAACCTGAAGAATTAAAATAAAATATCAGCTCTTCTGATCACACAGACATTTTATATTTCATTTATTTTATGCATTAAAATGCTCAACTGTTAATTCTGTGACGTTAAAATGTTATCTTTCTTGGTGTAATTAATATGCCAATCTAAAGTTTCAGTTCAGATATACCATCCCCTCACCTCTCTCTCTCTCTCTCTCTCTCTCTCTCTCTCTCTCTCTCTCTCTCTCTCTCTCTCTCTCTGTGTGTGTGTGTGTGTCTCTCTGTGTGTCTCTCTCTCTGTCTCTCTCTCTCTGTGTCTGTGTGTATGTGTGTGTGTGTGTGTGTGTGTGTGTGTGTGTGTGTGTGTGTGTATCTCTGTCCCTCTTTCTCTCTCTCTCCTCTCTCATACACACACACACACACACACACACACACACACACACACACACAGGGGTTGGGTAGGGAGAGAAGGGCATAACAACTGCTTTCTACATAAAACATGTTCTGCACTAAAACATATGGGAGTTGGTGGAGGTGCCTTCACTAAACCCAGAGTTGAGGTTGATGGTAACTATACACACCATAACGCACTTTCATTTACAGATTGGTTTCAGGACATAATACACATCGATGAAAAACACCATGGAAGCCACAAAGCCTAGATTCTATTTCTAGCTTTGTCATTGACCTTCTGGGTGACCTTGTATAAGGTATTCAACATCCAAAAGACTCAGAATTCACATTTTGGAAAAGAGGCAGAAAAGGGTAGGAGAAGACGAAGGAAGAGAAGCTTGGAGGAGAGGGAAGCAACCACCTAGTAGTTACTCTAAAAAAGGAAAAAATACTGAGGTGAAAGAGTCAGTCAAAGGTCTGATGAAACGTTTTCTTCATTAAAATTGGGATTTGCTGCCGGGCGGTGGTGGCGCACGCCTTTAATCCCAGCACTCGGGAGGCAGAGCCAGGCGGATCTCTGTGAGTTCGAGGCCAGCCTGGGCTACCAAGTGAGTCCCAGGAAAGGCGCAAAGCTACACAGAGAAACCCTGTCTCGAAAAAAAACCAAAAAAAAAAAAAATTGGGATTTGCTGAAATCAATTAACTCAAATGCTCATAGAATTAGAGAAAGTCAAAATTTTCTCATCAATCTACCAGTCAGAATTTACCAAGCCACTCTCAGAGATAAACAAGGCCTGTACTGAATAAAGGATTCAGCCTCTGATCACTCCAAGAGAATCCCAGGGTCACATCAGAAGGACACATTGGCTGATAAGAACCCCCCCCCCCCCCGCCCCCTCAAGTGCTTTTGAGCATTTTCAGAAATGTTCCTGGACTTTCAAGTGATAGGGATTCCAGCTGCTCAATTGTCTGGCAAGGACCATTCATCTAGGGTGAGCAGCTCTATGAAAAATGTGTGCCCAGAACCTTCTGGGAAAGCGGAGAAATTGCACTCCCAGGCAATATTCTAAAGTGCTTTGTGTTTATCTGTAGGATCTGTTGGGGAGGTAGTGTTAAAGACCAAACTGAGTCTTAAGGAAGCACTTGCTAAGTGCAAAATCATTTTAAATTTAAGGGCATATGAAAAATGACGAGTATGGAAGACCTTCATACCTTCAAAGAAGAAGAAGAAGAAAATTTAGTAACTGTGCGATCATAGCAGGTGGATGTCTTTTTTGGTCTGAAAAAGGAGAACTGTCTAAAATTAAAAAGAAAAACAAAAACCCTGAGGTTTTTGAGTAGACAAATCCTTTGGGGGTTAAATGGCAGGAGAAATGGCCTAAATATGTTCAGGGAAATAAAGGTGTGCCGACTTGTATCAGTATACATTCATAGAGCCGGCCTTTGGGAGTTTTGATGCACACAGTGACAATCTGAAATAGAAATTCCTTAGTGAGAAAGCAGAAATTCTAGCATGGCAGAGCCACCTGGTTTTTCTCCTCAACAGACTGTGCTAGTGCTGCCTCCCAGCCAAGGTTTGCTCTAACCAATCCCGCCTTTGCTGGCAGCCCAAGGTCCTTGAAAAGGATGGCACCCTTTCCCATCGTTTTATACAGTATCACATACACACACACACACACACACACACCAAAAAAAAAAAAAAAAAAAAATTAGGCAACTTAACATTTTAACTAGAACCAAGGCAACACAAAGGCTACTGTTAGGGTTACAGAACAACAGCCCCAAATCCTGATGCGGATACCATTTCTCTATACCTCAGCTGTGCCCACAAAGATCAGACATGAACTAAGGTCATGTGCCAACACAGCTCAGCTCAGCTGGTAAGGGAGTCCAGACAATAGGCAGCCAATCCAATTCATGGGCCATAGAATAAAGCACATGAGAGTTTTGGTGAACCTATACAGTAATATTAATTAACTTGGGGGAAAAAAAAAACAGAACATGGATTGGATACACATTAATGTACTTTTCCTACATGCATATCCCTCAGAGAACCCACACTGCAATTAAGTCTAAACCAAAATAAAGATTCAGGCTCAAAGCAAAATGTTTTAATTAAATTTGCTTAAAGTGAAAGAAAGGCTTCAAGAAAAATAAATTGCAATGTGGCTACGCCAATGCCAAGTAGAATGGACTTAGTAACTAGTAGCTGACTAGCTGAAAAAATAAGCTAAAAATTAAAAGCAATAAGAGAAATGGTTTTCTTAATTTTTTTTTTTTTTTTTACTTGTTCAATCTGTCCCATTTCAAGTAAGTTAAAACACGACCTTTGGCTTAATGGAATGTACTAATAGTTAACAGTTAACTTTTAAAAGGCTGAGTAGAGCAAGAAAAATGATACTTTCTTATGCCACTAGAAGCATTCAGGAAAGGGTATTTTTGCAGTAATGTGTCTCCATGCCTTCACTCTCTACACCACGTCTCTGATTCTGTAAGTTTGGAGAATCTTGGTGTGCTGGCAGGGGAAGCCAACTGTGGCTACATTGCATGGGACAGATACAGTCTTACAAAATGAAATATCCCAAGTAAGACATGAAAGGAATCTTTAACAAAACTAATATTTTCATACATGGGCTTCGCTGCATTAATAATTAATAGAAAGCCCTTTCCTGGGAGAATTTAATGGAAATTCCTTTCTTGAACAAACAGAAACTCTGTAGAAATGGGTAGACACGTGAAGATGATCTGTTAAATGCTTACATAGTCCTCCCCTCAATGAAGAGGTGGATGATGCATTCTGAATTACAGGCAAACAAAGACGCTGTCCCTTCACAAGTACAGATCACAAGAGCTAGCAAATTTCCTGCTGAACTACAGGCAGAGGAGATGCCTGAAGTTACAGAAGAAAGGAATAAAAAGGGGGAAGCTCACTATGTAATCTCTAAATCACAACAGACGGTAACGGAGACCAGCGGCTTTTGTAGAGAGGTATTTTTACCACAGGGATGTTCTGGCAGCATTTCCCCCTGGGTTTAATCCCAATGATATGTCTTTTTAAGTACCCATAGCCTCAATGCATTCTAGTCTTTTCTCATGGTTATGTAAGGCTCAAAGTTGTTAGCAAATACACAGCAACAGAAAAATAAAGGCAGAAAGAAAAATTACAAGGGTGGAAAACAACAGAAGAAGACACCTACCCTCTTTTGTAGAACTATTGGCGTTATTGCAGGCAGAGTGACTCTTCTTGCACTCAAATTCATGTTTGTCCTTCTAGAATGATCCCCTCTTCGAGATCATAGACGAAATGAAAGGAGTCCTTGATGGTTACTCCTCAGGAATCTCAAGGCTCAGTGCAAAAAAACTCTAGGGAAGTAATAAATGTCACCCTGCTCCTGTGATCCCAGTCTACCCAAAGCCAATTAAGGATGGCTGCGAACAGGACAGGGCAGTGGCCAATCACAGCTCCCAGAACCCCGCCTTTGTCCTTGGAGACTCATTCGGATACTTTTGTTTATGATATTTAAAGAACCAGATTAACAGGCATCTAGTTCCCTTCTTTTTTTTTTTTTCCAAAACAGTGCAATTCAATGCCATCTTTGTTGACTAAACAGCTGTTTCGCTAAAGCGTTTCAAAGCGAGGCAGATAAACTCTTTACATTATTTACATACATTACATTAGTTAGAAACACTGAAGTATAAACTATGTAAGTGAACCAAATTTACTCATGCTACTCACAAAATTGATAAATGCTTCCACTGCAGCATCAGCTAAGAGGTGCAGAAAGAAGCCCTGACTTAAAACTAGCAAAGTATTTTAATCTATGCCATAAGTTTTAATGCTAGTTTTAATATAAGTGACAAAGATCACGTACCAAACAGAGGAAATGTTTCTACTGTGAAACTTCCAGCCATTCTCAAGGTCAGATCCTGTTAAATATTACCTATTAAACACAAGTCTGGCAATCAATATAAATAATATTAAATAGAAAAATGAGAATTCATGGTATTTAGTCTGATCGTCACACATGTTTAGAGAAAGTAGAGGTTTGCATAATTTAGCATACTTCAGCATATTAAAAAACTTAAAAAATGGCTGCTGCTCAATGCTACCTTAAACCTTGCCAAACTTTTTGCATTTTTCTTAAAATAACTCTAATTTTTATTCTAATAGTTCATGGGTTAGAGGAAGTTCACAAGTAAAAGAAAACAAAGCAAAAAATAATGCTTAACAAGGAAATTTCCAACAAAGAATGAAAGAAACACTCAAAAAAATGTCCCAAACTGTTGCAGGTAAAAACTAATTAGAGTTTGCACAGTTGTGCAATCAGTCTGGACTGGACTGATTTCGCAATCCCTGGCAAAGCCTGCTGAACCTTCGAGCTTCTCAGCAGTGACCCACAGACTGAGCACTGCCCTCAGCCCTGAAGGCACACTGTCTTCTCTAGAGAATGACCAGAGTGTTGCATCAGCAGGGCAGGCAGGAGCAGTGGAAGTTCCCAGACACACACTTTCCTTTTCACTGTGCAAACTGTTTCTTCCCGAGGAGTGCCTCACTGCTCCACCGGAGACAGTTCTGCACAGGCTAAGCTCATATTCCTCGAAAGAAAGCGGCACTGTACCTCCAGACTCCCTACTCTGAATGCCAAAGCCCATTGTCCCCTCAGCTTAGTGTCTGCGAGAAGGGCCATTAGGTGTACTTAATGTAAGTAATCTCAGATAGGTCTAGGTTGGGGACATCA